GCACATAAAATGGATATCAAAAGAGAGCCAATTGTCCACATAAACTGTCATAAAACAAAAATCAAATAATAATATATATCAAGAAAGTAATTTTACTCTAACTTAAGGCTTCTTAAGTTATATTTGGAAGAAGAGCTCTATTTTCCATTGAGTGACAAGTTTAATAATAATGCTCAGGTCTGATGAAAATATTTACTGGAATTTGATTTCAACATATTTTTTCAGTGTCAGATTTTAAATTTAAATCATCTTTAATTCACTTTATATGATCTTTATTCTTTTAAATAACAAGAAATGAGTTATCATGTTAATGATATTTTCTTCTTTCTTTACTTTAGCAAGTGAGACAGTAAAAATATAAAGGAACAAAACTCACAGATGCACTTTAAGGGAAATAACTCACTGACAGGAGGTTTTTTGGTCAATTGGAAAACTTTGATTTCAAAATGAAACATGCAGTGTTATTATCATACATTTTCAAAAGATATCCATGACTTTTATGAAACACTCCCAAAGTGGTTTTAAAACATGCTTTCAAATAATGCAGACTTGGTTAGATAAATATATATTCCCTATAATTTTCAAAGATTACTTAAATGAATATTTACATTTCAAACGTGACTTTGGATTATCTTTAGAATATGTTCACCACCAAACTGTATTATTTACTAGTTTTTTTTTTCCAAAATTTTTTTCTTTGAATTCATCTTCAGATACAATAATTACAAACAATTTCAAGAGAGATTGAAGCAGAATTACGCGAATATTAAGTAAACATAGACAATCATCAAAGCAATTTTAATAATTGAAGCCTTCCGACATATGATTAAGAAGAGTGCGTCCTCTGTCTTCCTAAAGAATTAGGGTCCAAGTTTAACAGGATTGTGGTAACACCCACCTAATCCAAATAGCCGATTTTTAAAACGGCACCCTCAAAGCCTTTTGTCAAAGAATAATCTTATGGGGAATCTAATTCATCTAATAAATAATATTTAATTTCAAATAAAATTTAAAAGTCTTTATCTGTTCAAGTGTCAATTTTAATAAAATAAACACACTATAATCTTCCTTTAGAATCAGTTTTTCAATTTTAGGACGTAAAGAATATCTTGTCAAAAGAGTTTGAAATTTTTTTGTAAAAAAAAATCTGTTCACTAAGGATAAAAAAAAATCACCTTTCCTACATTTACATGATGAACATTTTTAGAAATGACTGATTCAAAATATTGAGTGTCACTCAACTTTTTTTCTTACCAATGCAGTGTATATCCATAACAAAAATTAACAAAACATAAAACGTGATTATCAGATCTTTGACCAGTTCACAAACTGTATGTTCAAAGAGACCAATACCATAACGTCAATCAAAAGCATTATGGGATAGCACACAATCAAATGCATCATGGGATAGGCCACTATCAAATGCATCATAGGATAGGCCACCATCAAATGCATCACATAAAAAGCCACCACCAAATGCATCATGGGATTGGACACTATTAAATGCATCATGGGATAGGACACCATCAAATGCATTATGGGACATGACACCATCAATGCATCTTGGAATTGCACACCATCAAATGCATCATGGTATTGGACACTATTAAATGCATCATGGGATAGGACACCATCAAATGCATTATATGACATGACACCATCAATGCATCTTGGAATAGAACACCATCAAATGCATTATGGGATAGGAATCATTTACCATCAAATGCATCATGAGATGGGAAACCACCAAATGCATCATGGATAGGATGGCATTAAATGCATTATGGGATACTGGCCTCCATCAAATGCATCATAAGATAGGACACTATCAAGTACCATATTTTAAATGTACAAGTCCATGTATTATACTGCTAACACATACTACTAATATAGATAAAACACTATACAAAATTATCAAAAAGAAAAATCATATAAAAAATACAAAAAAAAATAATGATAATTATCAATGTAAATTATAATTGATTGATTGTTGTTCGATTGACGTCAAGTGGCAAATATTTCATAGATATTCAGGACAAATATAAATTATGACTTAGCAGTATATATTAATTCTGGAATTTCAGGTTGGGCAAATTGCTCATTAAAATTAATCTTGTAATAATCAGAAAACAGCGCACACCTGTCAAAAGTTCTGTTTCTCAAAATCACTCCTCATAACAATATTGTGGAAATATTATTAATTTAGATGTTTTAAACATTTTAAAACAAAGATGAATTAATGGACTTAAAACAACAAAATAAATACTCAGAATTTTGTTAATATGATTAATCATTGGTTAAAGAGACTTCTGGATTGGAATTGTATTAATAATTACATGTAGAACTAAAATGTTAAATTTTTATTGTATTTTTTATATGGGTAATTTTCTAAATTTTGTCCTATAGTTGGTAACTCCTACATCATGTGGTATCTGGTGGAGAGTTGTCTCTTTGACAATATATCATACCACATCTTCTTATTTCTATATTAATTAATCTTTTATTATTGGAAGTAAATCAACAATCCCAATGATAAATGCACCCAATAATTACTACATTTTTTTCGCACTTGAGATTTGCAGCTACTATATTATAGTGTACAAATGAAAAGGGTCATCCCAAAGTGTAATTTGCACTTACCTGCCTCTGTTTTCATAATCCTTGAAATATAAGACCCCCCTTTTTTCCCTTAAACTTACAAATAAACTGTTTCAAACAAATAAACTTGAAATAAATAATTCATCTCTTCATAATTGGTATTTCTGAAATTTACCTAAAAAGGTTCTATAAACATGTACTTGTTTTCATCCAAATCTGACATAAGAAAATCTAGATTTAAGGTTAACTTAAATTCAAATTAGCATTTACTTTTCAATATCTCAAGATGCACCTTAAATCAGTATTTAGTATAGTTTTCTTGGCATGTGAAATAACATGTAAAACAATTGCAAAAAAAATTACTTGTAGTTCAAGATTTATGAAGGGATTGTTTCACTTGATCATTTTTTCCCAGTTTAAAATATGGCAAAAAGTTTTTAAACTCACACCTGGATGATTATTATTGTGATAATTTGAATACAAATTCATCATGCCATTTGGTTCACTAAAAAGATGCCTTACTTTCACAGGTGAAAAATTAAAAATTTAATGTTAGAACATAAACTAATACACTCAAAAGAGTGAACACTAACATAATAATAAAATAAATAATAATAATAATAAATAAACTTCAAGCTTTCAAGACTTATGAGTTTGAATATTTCTTTGGTATTTTTTCCATTTCTTAAACAATTAAACAAAATCTTTAACAAGTGCTCCGATGAAAATTTTATAAGTAAACTTGCTTTTAAGGCTTAAATGGTGTAGTTTTATGCCAATGCTATTAAACAATACTGCGATATAATCATAAAAATTCTATCTTTTTTAAATATGCACCTAATTCAACAGTATATGCACCTAATTTAACAGAATGCACCTAGTAATGGCAACAGGAAACATTTGTTTCCAAATAAAATTCATTTCGAAGAAATAAACCAAACTTTGCCAATCTCTGAATAAATAAAACTTTGTATTATATGTCACTAAATGTAATTACCAATGTCTGATCGCTGGGATTTATTCTCGTAAAATTGTTAGTTTTAGAATTTCCATGGAACGTTATTACTTGCATAGGATTATCCCTGGATGTCAAAGATAATATCGATGGAAAATTGAACCTTAATCTTCGGCTCAGTTCAACTAAACACCCTTAAATCCTCGGGAAATTACCTTCTTGATCTGACGTGGATAAATTCGTAAAAATACATTAGTATGAAAATCAGATTGACAATATCGGCCACAAAACAAAATGTTGAATAATACCAGCCAAATCCTTTAAGTTATATTTTGCAATGTTTATATGATTGTAAATATGAGAGTTTAGATCTTTGTGTTATATCTTATCAGAGTAATTTCGTCTTTTAAGTCGCTACATCTTGAATTGTCCTGCTCTGGGTTTAGGCCTTAATCTTTCCATTTCATTTCAGAGTTATAAATAATAAATTTACAATTACGGGGGATAGAGAATATCGCAGAAATAAAGATGGGTTTAAATCAAATTCAAACATTTTGATGGAAAACAGCAATTTCACATCTTAATCTTCAAAAAAATGCAATTTGTTCTTGTATTTTGGGATTTAACGATTGTATAGATGTTATGTAATCGGACTAATTTGGTCCACATACCGTTCGAAAGATTTGTCTAAAGCAGCAATTTAAACTGCAATAAATATTATGACGAATTTCACCAGCGTTACATATCGTTGCGAGTATCCTAACGTTGTCAAGCTTCCATCCACTTTATTAAGTTCACTACATTAATTTTATGAGTTTGCAAAATCTACTGTCATGACTTGACACGATTTGTTCTTATTTTGGTTAGTTCCAGCATAAATTCTTCCACTGCATATTTTCAAACAACACAGGTAAAATGAAAAAATGTATATATAGGACCTACAAAACAGCTCAGGTTGTTTCCATCAGTTTCACCTGCCAATTGTGGGCAGCCCACTCAAATTAAGATTTTGTCCAAATTATTATACATACTGAAACCTGCTGTAGGGCTGATTGGTTGGAAAGTTGGTAGTGGTTTGGTTGTTAGCATTGGGAACAAACAACTTTTGTATAAATATACAAACCTGCATTTCGACTGGTCAGTTGAAAAATTGAAAGTTGTGTGGTTTTTATAGAATCAACAATACATTATCAGTATACATACCTGCTAAGAGGGCTGATTGGTTAATAAGATGATAGTTGTGGGGTTTCTTGGGAATCATCAACCATGAATAATTCTGGCATAAGTATACATACCTGATGTAGGGCTGGTTGGTTGGAAAGTTCGTGGTTGTATAAGTCTACATACCTACTGTATGGTTGGTTGGTAAGTTGGTGGTTGTATAAGTATACATACCTTATGTAGGGCTGGTTGGTTGGAAAGTTGGTGGCTGTATAAGTATACATACCTGCTGTAGGGCTGGTTGGTTGGAAAGTTGGTGGTTGTATAAGTATACATACCTGCTGTAGGGCTGGTTGGTTGGGAAGTTGGTTGTTGTATAAGTATACATACCTGCTGTATAGTTGGTTGGTTGGGAAATTGGTGGTTGTACAAGTATACATACCTGCTGTAGGGCTGGTTGGCTGGAAAGTTGGTGGTTGTTTAAGTCTACATACCTGCTGTATGGTTGATTGGTTGGAAAGTTGGTGGTTGTATAAGCCTACATACCTGATGTAGGGCTGGTTGGTTGGTAAGTTGGTGGTTGTACAAGTCTACATACCTGCTGTATAGTTGGTTGGTTGGGAAGTTGGTGGTTGTATAAGTATACATACCTGCTGTAGGGCTGTTTGGTTGGAAAGTTTGTGGTTTTATAAGTCTACATACCTACTGTATGGTTGGTTGGTAAGTTGGTGGTTGTATAAGTATACATACCTTATGTAGGGCTGGTTGGTTGGAAAGTTGGTGGCTGTATAAGTATACATACCTGCTGTAGGGCTGGTTGGTTGGAAAGTTGGTGGTTGTATAAGTATACATACCTGCTGTAGGGCTGGTTGGTTGGGAAGAAGGTGGTTGTACAAGTATACATACCTGCTGTATAGTTGGTTGGTTGGGAAATTGGTGGTTGTACACGTATACATACCTGCTGTAGGGCTGTTTGGTTGGAAAGTTGGTGGGTGTATAAGTCTACATACCTACTGTATGGTTGGTTGATTGGTAAGTTGGTGGTTGTATAAGTATACATACCTTATGCAGGGCTGGTTGGTTGGAAAGTTGGTGGCTGTATAAGTATACATACCTGCTGTAGGGCCGGTTGGTTGGGAAGTTGGTGGTTGTATAAGTATACATACCTGCTGTAGGGCTAGTTGGTTGGGAAGTTGGTGGTTGTATAAGTATTCATACCTGATGTAGGGCTGGTTGGTTGGGAAGTTGGTGGTTATATAAGTATACATACCTGATGTAAGGCTGGTTGGTTGGAAAGTTGGTGGTTGTATAAGTCTACATACCTGCTGTAGGGCTGGTTGGTTGGGAAGTTGGTGGTTGTATAAGTATACATACCTGCTGTAGGGCTGGTTGGTTGGGAAGTAGGTGGTTGTACAAGTATACATACCTGCTGTATAGTTGGTTGGTTGGGATGTTGGTGGTATTACAAGTATACATACCTGCTGTAGGGCTGTTTGGTTGGAAAGTTGGTGGTGTATAAGTCTACATACCTACTGTATGGTTGGTTGATTGGTAAGTTGGTGGTTGTATAAGTATACATACCTTATGTAGGGCTGGTTGGTTGGAAAGTTGGTGGCTGTATAAGTATACATACCTGCTGTAGGGCCAGTTGGTTGGGAAGTTGGTGGTTGTAAAAGTATACATACCTGCTGTAGGGCTGGTTGGTTGGGAAGTTGGTGGTTGTATAAGTATACATACCTGATATAGGGCTGGTTGGTTGGAAAGTTTGTGGTTGTATAAGTATACATACCTGCTGCAGACTGGTTGGTTGGGAAGTTGGTACTTGTATAAGTATACATACCTGCTGTAGGCTGGTTGGTTGGGAAGTTGGTGGTTGTATAAGTATACATACCTGCTGTAGGGCTGGTTGGTTGGGAAGGTGGTACTTGTATAAGTATACATACCTGCTGTAGGGCTGGTTGGTTAGTAAGTTGGTGGTTGTATAAGTATACATACCTGCTGTAGGGCTGGTTGGTTGGGAAGTTGGTGGTTGTATAAGTATACATACCTGATGAAGGGCTGGTTGGTTGGTAAGTTGGTGGTTGTATAAGTATACATACCTGCTGTAGGGCTGGTTGGTTGATAAGTTGGTGGTTGTATAAGTATACATACCTGCTGTAGGGCTGGTTGGTTGGTAAGTTGGTGGTTATATAAGTATACATACCTTTTGTAGGGCTGGTTGGTTGGAAAGTTGGTGGTTGTATAAGCATACATACCTGATGTAGGGCTGGTTGGTTGGGAAGTTGGTGGTTGTATAAGTATACATACCTGCTGTAGGGCTGGTTGGTTGGGAAGTTGGTGGTTGTTGGTGGTTGGCAATTACTTTTGGATGATCTTTAGATACATGTGACGGTTGATCTTCCATATTCTGCTTGTTTATCTGAAAGAACATTGCAAAATACAAATAACAACAATTAATTCAGATATTTTCCTAGACATGGTAGACACAGCTGATAATAAACAAAAACAAAACTGTAAGCAAAAGGTGACACAATTAAAAATCACAAATGGTAATATTTTTACAATGAATGCTACCCATGATGAATGTGGGTGTTCTACTGCAATTCTTTTGAATGGAAGAGTGACTAATTTAACTGAATCACTGTGACCTTTTGTGTACTGTAAATAACTTGACTTTTAAAAGTGTCACTCTTTCATAGAATATTTGTAAATACTTTGTTATTGGATAACATGGACAATACCCGCCGAAAAAGAACATTTCTAGACTGTGTATTAATAATTATTATCCATGTCATACCAATTTACGTGGATATCGTGGGTAAAGGCAAACCACAAATTTCAATGTTCAATGAAGTACAAGCTTTCTGTATGCTTTTACACAGACTTTGTCAAATAAACCATGAAATCAAATATCCACGAAAAAACATTTTTATCTCAATCCGCAAAAATAACTGAATCCACAGTAGTATGAACATAAAGTTTTGATTTCAGTGTGCACAACACATACATTTTTTTATGTTTCTGTAAATATTTATCTGGTACCGGTGAGCAAACCGTTACAGAAACCTGACAATTTTATACATTGTTATAACACCTGGTTTGTCACCTATTCCTCTGTTCACATCAGGTGGGCTGATCAGGGACCTAAATGTCCAACATGTCAGACTTACAAAAACTGCACAGTATTTTTCAAACTATATCCCAGCGTGTACTGTACAATTCAATACATGCATAAATTTATTAATAGCATTTAGAACAATAAGAGGGAACCTGTTTGTAGAATCTATTTCACAAGTGAATTAATTTATCGTTTATATAATTTTACAACCAACATTCAAATAAATAAAATTGTAAATTAATCATTTACTTGTACATGTTCATTGCAGTTAAAACAATATGTCATGTAACTTAGACACTCTATATAGGGTAAATTAACAATTTTTTTATCATAATGTCAAAATTGAGATATTATAACAGCTTATTATCACGATTATGGATTCACTTATTTCCATGGATATTTCTTTTGGATCTGGAAGTTTTGCAAAAGTCTGCATACAAGCAGAATACTATAGATTTGATTTTTTATTTTTAGTGTTTTAACGCCACTTTTAAGCACCAAATTTGGGCTATTTCGTGGCGGCCAGTTTTTATTGGTGGAGGAAGCCGGAGTGCCCAGAGAAAACCACTGACCTTCGATGGGAAAACTGACAATCCTAGTCAATTAGGATTGGAGTCGAGTGCACCCGCACGAGCGGGGTTCGAACTCACAACCTCAGTGTTGACTGGCTAGTGATTACAGTAGTAACTACTTAGACCACTCGGCCACCGAGGCCCCAGTAGAATACTATAGAAAATTTTTACTATGTTGAACATATAAACATGTGGTTTACCTACGTTAAGTCATATTAATTCCATGAATATTGGTCATAATCCCACGAATAATAATGAATTAATTTTTCAGGAGGGAGATTTTTTTCAACAAAATGGGAGATAATTGACATCCGTGTGACCGTGTCACAGCTGTGAGGACTCATCAGGTTGTCAGATATAGAATTCCAAATTTTACTTTCAACTTTCAAAAATGTTAATTAAAAGCAAAAAATTATATATGATATATTATAACAACATTTTAATGTATAAAAGATGTGATAATCTCCATTTACAAATGTTTAAACATGGTACATATATGTACATGTAAATGAACATCATAAATTAGGCATGATGAGTATGATAAATGAAAATCCTCATTCTCCAACACTCTGATATTTTAAAGAAAACTCTTTTTTAATTCAATTGATTTCTGAATATTTCTTTTATTCTCAATAATAGACAGCTAGAAGTTTTCACAAATTTATGCAAAGAAAAAAAAAGTAAAATGGGTCCACCTAACCAAATTCTTCAAAACAGTTGGAAGAGAGTCTAAGATTTCATAAATTATGGCTTTATTTGAGTAAATTGACCTTTTTTCCTTTTTCTCCTCTTTTATTTTTAAATTGTAAATAAAGTGGTTAATATGAATTTATTCATTGAAAATGCATATATGTTAAAATCAATCAATTAAATAACTTACTTTTATTTCAATATTGTTGACTTACCAGTTATCATGGTTATAATATAACTAAACATGAATATGAAAATAACAGTTTTTAAGTACATGTACAATGAAAGTAAGAAATGTGTCATCTTAAACAATTTCTTGTTAAACCAGTTAAGATTAAATTTTTACTTTTATCCAGTTGATCTGCTCATCCTAATTTTCAAAATTGACTTATTATATTAAAGGGTGTTTAACTTCCCTTAGGCCTTAATCTCCCTATAATCCCCAAACAAAAGACCGCATTGATCAATAAATAATAGTCACATACTGGACTAAACAAACAGGTTGATCCCTTTTATTGTACATTAATTTCAACCTGTTTAATCCAATTGGCTTGTGGGTAAAACCATTGATCTGTACCATAAATGTCACAGATGGTCGTTTCAAATTTTGATTAATCTTCGATAAATCTATATTAAAGGTGGAAAATTTGACAATTTCCAGGAATTAGGAAGATTATGTTTTCGTTCTTTATTTTTTTTCCAATAAATGGATTAAGTTTCACTTTTTTTGTTTCAAGCTTCCTATAATCATGATAATTATGAACAAATACACACAAACAAGTTTCCTGTGGGTAAAAAACACAAAAGGATTTTTAGAAATTAAATATTGATCTTAGTTTTCAATTCATTAAACAAGAGAGTTTTACCTTAAGTATAAATTGATGAATACAACTACAAATATCTATTTATATTTGACACCAGTAATAACGTCTGTAAATAACACGGAAATTCTTAAGCAATAATTACCAATAAAATAAATGTATTACTCTTTTATTGCTATTCTTCATCTTGAAATTCGCTTAAAAGTTTTATATTACAAGACTTCATTGTGTGGCCATGAGTCTTTCATGTACATGTATTATAAAATTGAGAATGGAAATGGGGAATGTGTCAAAGAGACAACAACCCGACCAAAGAGCAGAAAACAGCCGAAGGCCACCAATGGGTCTTCAACACAGGGAGAAAATCCCACACCTGGAGGCGGGCTTCAGCTGGCCCCTAAACAAAAATGTGTACTAGTTCAATGAAAATGGACGTCACACTAAACTCCAAAACATATAAATGAACTAAAATTAAATAACATACAAGACTAACAAAGGCCAGAGGCTCCTGACTTGGGACAGGCGAAAAAAATATGGCGGGGTTCAACATGTTTTGTATAGATCTACAATATATATATATATATATCTTTAAATATCTAGCCTCCGTAAGGAGAGATATTGATACAAATAAAATATTAATAAATAACACAATACACAAGTTTTAACAGATGAAAAAAAGAAATTATTTTAAACATATTTAACATCGTTAATTAGGAAAGAGAAAATGTTTTGCAAAGTTTGCAAACGTATGTGAAGCATAAAAATTGAAAACGTTCTTTCGTCAAACAGTCTAGTTAGAATTAGGTTTCTCATGACAGTAACAGACAACAGAAATCTTCATCAGCTATGGACCAAGAAAAGCACTTAAAGTGATCCGGTCTATACATAGTAAATCGCACAAGAGTTCATCGCGAATGTTGAATAAGTAGTCACACGAAGAGATTGCATGAATACACGGATCGGGTGAAAAATTTACTACATTTATCGCATAGATTAATATCAGTGTTCGTATTGTGCACTAAACAACACAGGGATACTATTTAATTTGCCTGTTCACACAAATTTGGAAAATCTAATGCAACAGTACATGCAGGTTGTGGCTGGAATATTTTATGTATGTTCTAGAAGATGCTAAAGTGATGATGTACATGTACAATAATGTATTTGAGACAAACCTCATTATCTTATTATGAAAAAAATCTTACTTAATTAAATGCAAACTCCTAAAATGTACATAAAAAAATGTCGGGAGTTTATATATAGTATTTTACATTTTGTAACAATTCAATCTAATATTAATAACTATTATAACCAGGTAATTCTGCTCATAATAGATCATAATACACGCTTAATTTGGTTAATAATCATACATATAGAAGATTATGTGAGATAAGTGTTATCTCTAGGTTGAGAAAAGATCAGCTGTCCTTTATCATTAGGATAAGTACAGATTATTACTACATGAGGATTATCTTCAAACTGTTCTCAGCTTATAAATTCATGTGTACTTGTATTGAGGTTATCTTTATAAAAATTCAGTAAATTTTATTTTCATCCAAATCTTTAAAAAGACTGGCTGCCTATTGAAGAATACATGTATACCCCATATCTCTCTTCAGGTTTCTCACTAAGGCCAGTCCACGAGTCCTGGACTCATCATTTTGAAAACTGGTGAGTCCAAAGATGAATGCAGATAGTAAAATGTTGTATCAACTGATCAAGTGCACACATACACATGTATCATAATTTTAGAGCAAACTTTAAAAAAATTAATATAATTTTGATTTTATCTCTTTGCTCTATTTTGTCATGGAGACTGAAATAATAAATTATATAGAAATAAAATTTCAACTTCTCACTGTTGGACTTGGTATGGCCAAAATTGATGATGTCTTTAAAAGTCCTTATTGGGAACCCTTTTATTTGTCATGCTTGTATTTAGGTTATCTTTATAAACATTCAGCAAATTTTATTTACATCCAAACCTTTAAAAGGACTTGCTGCCTATTGAGGAATATACCCCACATCTCTCTTAATTCAATATATCGTCGTTGGGCTTCCAAAATGTTGTAAATTACAACAAAAAAAAATCTCACAAACAGGCTTTGAAAATTTGGTTGAAATGGATGCTTCCAAAATGTCGTAAGTTATTCAGAACCTGAATATTTTTGTAAATGGCAGTGAAATAAAAACTATGACGTTTGTGGATTACTTAAAAACTAAACTTATTTTAACAGAAATATAGAAATGTACAAGTATTTGATTCCCGAAGCCATTATATAACACTTTTCAAGTTAACATACAACATTTTGGAAGCAAACTTTACAAGCAGTTGAGATTGGCAATTTTGTCACAAGTCTTTTTTCAAATGTTTTGATTGGTCTAACTGTATGCTATTTTGGAATATCAAAGATTGCCTCCAGCCAAGACGATTTGTGTGAAAAAGTAATTTTAGCCAAAAAAGTCATATACAACATTTTGGAATCCCAGCGACATTATTTTGTTTACTATTATTATAGATAACAATATTAAAAGAGAGTGGAGGTACAGGGAACATGACTGGGGAAAGACACAAACAGAATGTGGCAGGATTACACTGTAATGTAAAATAAGGAAATGTGGTATGACTGCCATTGACATTTTTTTTAAACTGTACATAAATTAAGTTAACCACAGGGAATAAGCTTTGCAGGGGCCCTGTTGCCAATGCTACTGAAAATTTGACTGGGCCCCTTACTTTTTACAGAATATTCCCATATGGTCAATACAAATTTTTCACATTTTGTCAGTTGGGCTTCATGAGTGAAATTTTAAAACTTCAATTCCCTGAACCTTCATGTAGTTTTTCAGATATAAATATTTATATACATTCTACTGTCATGACTGTGGTTGCAGAACATAATTGCAAGATCAAATGTAAATGTTAGTCATGTAAGTTAATATTGTAAACCTGACAAAAGAAACTATAGACATGTATGCATATATTGTTTCATGAAGTATCCAAATCAACAGCATCATGAACACCAAAATAATTAAAAGAGAACTAAACTGGAAACAATAAAAATTCTATGATCTAAACTGGGCTTACCATGGTAATCATCACAGTACATGTACAAATGTATATATATATATATACATTTTGTACATGTAGTCTGTCAACGAGCCTGCCACCTAACATCAAATAGAACTTAAAAGATAAATACATAGCAAAAGACAAGTGGTGGTCCAAAGTTTTTGACCACCAAAATTTTGAAAAGGACTGACACAATTTTGATATTTTGCAATAGCAATAATAGTGAGGACCAGCAGATTTTCTTCAAGGAACAAAGATTTTTAAAACTCTGAAAAACAGCAGTCAATCTATAAATCGCCTTTAGTCTAAACATGTCCTGGATAAATCAAAGTAAAACAGAGGCTTCAAAAGTACTTCAATCCTCATCTGACTCCTTAATGAACAAATCGCTAAGATACATGTATCATCGACCTACATTATTTTCTTCCATACTGACACAATGACTGACCCAACATGACAGAAAATTTAGAAGATTATTATTAAAACACTCAGAAAAAGCAAATTTTCATGGTAGATTTTTTTCACCAGAAAAATTCTTCACACATGAAGAATTAGATTTAATAAAAAAAACCAATTTGTTTCATAATTACATTGTGTTGCGAACTTGCTTACATGAAAATACATAATTATATACAAGATGTTGACTTGATCAAATTCTATAATTCCAAAATAATAATATGTACATGAAAGAACATACACTAAAAAGAATCAGGTCTTGTACAAATAAAATGATATAAAAATCTGCAAAATCTATAATTTTTATGTTCACTTTATCACAACTATTATGTCACCTAAAAGTCCAGAAGGAAAATTGAAGTGTTGTTCTATTATTACATTGGAAGTTTGTAATGCTTCTTAATAGATCATTTATAAGTTCAAATAAACATATAAGAAGATCTCAGTTTTGTTTAGTCAGTTTATCATTTGAATTTAAATTCTATAATATTAGCAGTGTATATTAGTGTTTTATATTAACATGTATTAAGAACTTAATTAATAACATGTAAATAATTTGCACCTTCAAAGTTAGATAAAAAAGAATAAATATTTTCATAATTTAAAATTAATATTTAAATATTGTCAAAACTTTAAATCAAAACAATCATTTTACATGTACAAGTACTTAAATTATGTAAATAGAAAATGATTAAAAACTATTTGCGTTAATATTCTAATTACACAGACTTTCGAAAAAAACAACACATAAAATTTGCACCATTATATATGTATATTCGATGTGAATCTATTTCAAATTGCTCATAAACATGATGAATGTCAGGTGTGAAATATTAATAAGCTAGGTACAAACAAGACTTCAGATTATTAAGGGAAATTAACATGATTAAATATACAGAACAAAGAGATATAACGAAATAAATCTGTGAAAATAACATGACTTGTCTGTCCAAAGTTGATTGATTCATTATACCGTTATACAAAGAAACAATGACAGTAATTAATCAACTAATGTGACAAGAAATACAAGATCATGTTCACTGGTCCATGACAGCCAATGATGTCCAAATCCCTAAAAGATAATATTGAAAAAGTCTGTTACCTGTCCTGGGTCTGTGTTCACTGCTGTGTGGACATTGGCAGCAACCCATGCTTCGGCAAAAGTTTCCATTGCAGCATGGAAGTCCATTATTAAATCAGAAGGTTCCAAAACAGCAAAACTGTCCCACAGTTTAAAGACACAATATGGTATCACTCTATGGGATGAAAGATGCTGAAATCTCAACTTTCATTCGAGTTATATTGATAGTTTTCCAACAAAGTCGCCTTGACAAAGTTTCACGAATGCACGAGCACTTTGTCGTGAAATGTCAGACATGAGCCTCCCGTGTCTAACATTATTGTAAACAACGAGTCCCTAACCATAGCCAGATATACTCAAGTCTTCAGTTAAGAGGATTAAGGAGCTTCTTCACACATCAATAAATATTATGCCGCGGAACTATTTTAACAGGTGCCCGTGGCGGTTTAAGGAGATATATCAATTGACACCAGCAATTCAGTTATTGAGGATTCAAATGAACATTATTTGTGTTTAAATTTGTAGGGATTTTTTTTTAAATTAAAAATTAAGTTTATTTTACAAAATATCGTGTAGTAATACAGACGATTTACTAAGCCGGAAAAGAAATACACAAAGATTAACAGTAAATTTGACATAGTCGATAAAACGTTTGAAATTATTCTTATTTTTTTGCATCCGACTGAAGCATCTCAATGATACAGATCTACACAATTTTGCCACAAATCAACAGACTCTGAAGCACGATTTTGGCTAGCTGTCACTGCTTTCCTATATTTACGAACATATTCTGGCTCTAAGATATTTTTTTAGTACCAACTCAATGCACTTAATGTGTTATGCTGTTTAAAATTAGTTTTGGAAATTGATAATGTCGATATTTGTTTGTTTTGTCGTGTTGGCATTTTTGTCAACAAGCAGTGGTATTAAATACAAGGATAATGATAAGGTAAAGCAAATCAAACATACGAAAAGTATAAAATCAAATCAAGTTCAGTAAGACATTTTAAGGGCCATAAGATAATAAAGTGCATTCAACAGCTAAACCATGATCATATTCAGTTGACAGTAACAGTTTTCACAGCAAAGACTGTGGTATGCTGAATTCCAGAAAGCCTTCCAAAACTTGTTAAAAATTCTGACAGCGCCTCAGAATTTCCCAAACATTGTATGGCTTAGTTTATTTTATTTAGATTGAGTAAAAGAGAGGCAAAAGATACCAAAGGGATATTCATAAATTCACAAGTCTAAATATATATGTATGAGGGTCGTAATAGAGGTACTTTCATGACGAATAACAGTAAAAAATTTTGCCAAATGACGTTAACGATAATTTTTGGTGCATGACGATAAAATGAACACTTTCTATATGATGGTAAAATTATTGACTTTTTTTGTTTGATTTTGACGAATCACGTTAAATTCTTTGCAAAAATAATGGTTACGGTTAACTATTTGAGACCTCTGACGAATCACGATAAGAATAATTTGACGAATCAGGAAAACATTTTTACCAATTTGATGCAAACGGTAGCCGAAAATGACCGTTTGACGCCTGAAGGTAAAGGGCATTCCTACCCTCATGTATTCTGACAATGTCATAGCAAAAAATGATCTGAAGAAAAACAACAGTATACAAAACACAACAGAAAACTAAAGTCTGAGCAACATAAACATGATAAACCCTGACTTTTGAATTATTACATCCACAATATTGTTACACTAGGAACTTGCATACAAGACACAAAATTCTGAACCTGAAGGTAAATTGTACTTTATATAAAAATGAGGAGATGTGGTATGATTACCAATGAGACAACTATCCATCCAACATGCCCTAGTTCAAATGAAGAGGATGTAAGCAATTATAGGCAACTATAGGGCCTTCAACAATTAGAAAAACCCATACCATTAGTCTGCTATAAAAGGCCCAGACAAGACAAATATGAAACAATTCAATTGAGAAAACTAACAGCCTAATTTTTAACAAACAAATTTACGAAAAATGAATATGACAGACAGGAACCAACGACAACCACTGAACATCAGGCTTTTGACTTGGGACAAGCATATAGAGATGAATGAGGTTTAACATGTTTGTGAGTTCTCAATCCTCCCTTAACCTGGGACAGTGGTGTTACAGAACAACGTTAGAACAAACTATGTAAATTAGTTGAGTTAAGAGGACATATCTCAAAAGTATTGTCTTATTTAGGCCAATAAAAAATATATGTCTGTTTAAGGTTACATACTATAAAAAAATAGGGTAGATAGGTCGGTATTTCCATTTTATTTTATTTTTTCATTTTGTTTTGTGTGACATGATTTTGAGTCATGCGGTTTCGTCTTGTCGTGGTCCAAGTTGATCTTGGGCCGATTTTACCCGTTATTTTAATGATTGGATTATTTCCCTAGGTTATTTGTTGGAACAAAATGGCGGCAAAGTGTTTATTTCATCACACGAGTCGCGAATAACCTTAAAACAGCTGTCATATTCACGATTGTGAACATTTGGATGTACCAACTTCGCTTTTGACACGAGTTCAGTTTATTTTTCACTTTACGACAGAAATAAAATGACTTAGGGTCGGCACTCAAAAGTAGGGTAGGTCGGGTAACCGTAAACAGACATATATTTTTTTTTGGCCTTATCAATGTTACTTGTTTTTGACTACATGTATGTATGATAGCTCTTTCTGGTACTTGGGGGTACCCTCAAATACATTTGTACTAGGACAGCTTACAAACAGAACTATTGTATATACTGAAATCTGAGAGTATAATCCTCACAAGAAAATCACATATTCACCTCACGGACACGAACTAGGGACATCTGTGTTTGAAATCGGTGCTCTAACCAATGGACTACTTAACTAGCTCAACCCCCCTGTAGCTAGTTAGTATATTCTTATCTACATGTACTATGCATGCAGTGTTCTCCCCAGGTGGATATGCGCCTTCAAAATATTTTCATTGATCCCGCAGCGCCTTAATTGGCTGCTGTTCCTTAATACTTGGTCCTGCAGCGTGGTAATTTTCATATTTTAATTATGAATGTTAGTTAAAATTGTCAATTTGCTGATCACCGCTGAGAGGTCGGACAATGTTACGCAATAACTGATAATTAGCTAAGTCTCTGCTTTACCTGTGCCAGCCTTATCAGACCATGTAATCAGGTTATAGCATAAATGATCATCAAGAAGATAAAAATTTTAAGTAGAAAATAAAAGTTTAAAAAAACTTCAGTGCAAAAATTTAAGAAATAGATCGCAAATACATTGTATTTACGCAACGTCTTTGTGTAACTACTTGACCATCTAAGTAAAAAAAAAATTTCATTGGTTGAAAAGAAGTATCTATTTAAACATGACCAATGAACGTGATGAATACACTTTACTCAAGACATTTACGATGAAATTTATGAATGAGAGTATTTGTATGTAAAAATAGTAAAATAAACTTTAATTAAAGATAACGAGGCGTGATTTTTGTTATTAGAAAGTGAAAAATTGTTGCTTGCTCAACTGTTATTTTAGTAATAAAATAATTATTGAACATTGATCATTAATCTGTCCATCGAGAAATATATGTGAAAACCAACACAGGTACGGAATCGGTGCAGCATCTGTATAATGTCACTAGTAAATAATTTCATTGGTCTTAACTTTGACGAATTTGTCAAGTTACTTTTATATCTACTTGCGAAAGAAATGTTTGACAATTTTACACATGGAAGCGTAATGTCATTGAATGTCAAACTACAGAAACTGGTCAGCTGTTCATTACAATCTTTTTGTTTTAAAAGTTGTATTCCAAATATCTTAAACGTATTCAATTTTAATGCTGAATCAACAGATTCTCTGCAAATAAGGAAGGAGTTAAGCAAAAGGCAGATGATGGAATAAGAAGTTTTTGTGTTTAAAATGAATTTATTTCATATATAAATTCTTATTATTTATTAATTGTGTGCATTATTAAACACATGTCATAAAGCATAAAAAGTCGTTCAAAGCAGCTGTTTCAACCTACATGTACAGTCAGTAAATTTATGTGTAAATAGTGTTATCTTAATATTGGAAAATAAATAAAATAATAATGTACATTATGTAAAAATGTTATAATCAATTTTGTAAATAATTATAAAATTGTTCATTTTTACTGTATATACGTCTCCACTAAGCCATGCGTAGTACAAGTGACATAAACTTGAAGGTGTTGAAAAGACAGTCAATACAAAGAAGAAGTAGAAATTCATATTGCATATCATCAATTCAACAACAGAAATTGCATGCCCACCCAGTACCCACTCCCACTGTACTTGTGGGCGGGTTGACAAGATAAATCCACCTGAGCTGTAGTGTAATATGCAAGGGAAGCAATCCCATCACAATACATAAATAATTCAGTGGCAATTAAGAACAACTTTACATCAGATTTTAAAAAGAGTAGTCATGCAAGAAAAAAAATAATTTTAATCTACACATGTAAATATGTTTTTAATGAGCATTATATTGAATGACTGGCTTGATTTTGCCATTTGATAAAGGACTCTCCGTTTTTAATTTTCCTAGTTCAATATTTTTGTTATTACACTTTTTAGTACTTTTGTGATGGGTCTTAGACCCAGGATGGGGGCATGTACTATATAAAGTGTGGTAGGGAAAAACCGCAAATCTATTCAGGATTAACAATTGAGCATAAGGAAAGGCAGTTTCTAGTTTTGTGTAAATAATGAGCAGTATAAAATAAGGAGATGTGGTATGATTGCCAATTAGACAACTAGTCCAAATGGAGTGGATTTAAGCAGTTATATGCCACATTACTGCTTTTAACAGTGAGCAGAACCCATATTGTAAAGTCCGCTATAAAAGTTCTAAAATGACAAAATGAGAAACAATTAAAGGAAAAAACAAACATGATTCTTTTTCATTTGCCACAATTAGCCATTAACATTGTGTTCTTTTTTATCATGGAGACTGAAATAATAAATAATAGAGCAATAAAATTTCATCTTACTGTCGGACACACTATGGCCAAAAAAGACTAATGAAATTACTACATATTATTTATTTTTCAGGTGATACTTTATGTGAACAAAGTTGGACCATACTTCAACCCACACGAAACATACCATTACTACCAGCTACCAGTCTGTAGACCCAAAAAGGTAGGGCACACATAACTTGTGAAAATAATTTAGTGTTGGATATTATGAAGTGATGGTTTTTTTCACAATGCTTCTTTTTATAAAGATAATGAGTTGTGGAAAGATTTCGCCAATGAGACAAGTATCCACTAGAGACCACAGGACAAGGATATTAACAACTATAGGCCACCATAAAAGGCAAAACAATCTGTGCTTGTTCCCTGCAATTCCGCTATGAAGTCCATTCGTTTTTAAATGGTCACCGAAAAATGTCGCTAGCAAAATAGAAAAAGGAAATTTATTTGGAAAAGAATACCGATAGAATTTAGCGGAAAAACACCATGCAAGCAGACGTACAAACCAGGGCTTCCAAAATTATTTTTAGCCAGCCGGACATTTTATATATTATCCTGACTTTAATCCCTTAAGACTAAATGAAGAAAAGGCAATTATGGTAATCAGTTGCCGAGTTGGCCATCCCAATGATTGACATTGAAAAACGATATTAAACTTTCTTTGATTCAAATTTGAAGTTCTGACGTAAACTGTTAAATTGACAGTGCAACATCACCGTACTTATATCTGCCTTAGACTTTTTATTTGTGCAAAATACAATGTAACGTTGTCAAAAACTTTACTTTCGTTTTTAAATCTACCGGATGTTATCGTGACAATGGTAAAACATGGACCAGAGACGGATACGTAAATTCCGTGTACATTTGCAAAGCATGAATGAGTGTATAAGTAGCTCATTCTACGTTATTTCTTCAAGAAAATATTCGAAATACGTGAGATAAAGGTATCAATGACAATTTAAGCATTTTTTGAAGAAATCAGAATGCATAATTAAATTTCACACCTGCGCACAAGCGCACACATGTACTAGTTCAAAGAGAGACATGTCTCTGGTTCAAACAACGTGGTTATGACGATTTTTCATTTTCACCTTTTTAATTTTTTCATCAAATCATATTTGTAAATGTATTTCTGATAATTTAAATCTTTTTGACTAAATTAATTAGATGCAAACCGTTGAAATTTAAGAAAATAACTTTGAATAGACCGATCAATGTCCGGTTCAAAATAGTTTACCTGTCACCTGAACAGGTCAATTTCAGCTGTTCGACAACTAATTAGCCTTGATTAAAATGAGAAGGTATTAAAGTAGGGGTTGTTTTGATAGTACTTAATGATCATGTCACTTTTATGACCGGAAATGTGTGGCTGTTAAAGGCAAAAGGTTGGGTCAAAAAGATCACGAATTATGTTAAAAATTATTATGACCGTCTCTTAAAAAAGCCTTGAAAACTAAAAAGTAGATGACCGTTTGGTGCTTTGCCCAGCCGGATTTTTACCGGACATTATACAAATGTCCGGAATATATGACAGTTTTGGAAGCCTTGGTACAAACTCAGACAGAAACTGGTTTATTGGCATGGAATGAAAATAGAAGAGTTGTTGAAATTGGCTATTTGGCCGAACAACATTCCCTTTGTTTCAAGTGTAAACGGTATTTGAAATTTGTTGGACTGTACAGAAGAAATCTGATATGGTTTCGGAAGCTTGTTCAAAACAAACTACTAGCATTGTAATTTTATAAGCACAGTCTAAACAGGACAGCTACATCGGAATAAGGAGAAAGTTAACAAAGGCTTAAACATATGTAATGTCAACACTAAATGCTCACTCGGTTAGGTCGAAATAAAATTTAATCATTCAGATCCTGTTACATCTTTTTCTTTCAATTCCATTCTGAAATAGATTATTTCTCAAAATTTACAATCAAACGATTAATTAAAAACCTGTGGCCCACAATGAATGAATGATCAGTGCTTCGATGAAGGTTAATCCAGAAAAGCACTTCGACCGCAAATAAGCTACAAAACGATATTTTCATTAACCCATTTTATTCAAACTGCAAAAACAAACTGATTAAAAAACAGTTCCAATGCCCCCACACCACCCCCTCCTGCGTTGTACATATTGTATCTGTCAATGGCCATTATAACTTTAAAAAAAAATTGTTTGTTCTTTGATTGATTTTTTTTTTATAAATATTGTTAATAGAGAAATGCAAATTTGAGAGCAAATGCAATGAAATTTCCGATATAATTATTATTTCTAAGGGGCATAACTCTTTTAAAAATATTTGATCAGCACTGACCTTCGAAATTATCCAAGACAATGCTGATATAAACCTTTAATATAAATTATTCAAAGATCTAGCAAAAATTGTACACCTGAGAGCGCTTAAAAATGCAATTTTCCATATATTAATTAATGTATCCAAGGGCATAGCTCTTTCAAAAATAATTGATTGGCATTGATCATGTTGATTTTCAAACTTGTCAGCAAAAATGCTGATATAAACCTAATATATAAGCTTTATAAAAATCAGGCAAGAATTGTACACGTCAGAGAGCTAACAAGACCGGACAGACAAACAGACGGACGGAAGAACAGACGCCCTGTATTTGTATGTCCACCACAACGCGCGCACAGGGACAAAAATCAAACGAGATCTTAAAATCAATTTTATTTTAGATTCATATTAATTTGCACTTTGTCTTCAGGGAAGGGTGTGTTTTTGGTGTTTTGAATTGGACATGATGTACAGGTACAGCTGATAAAAACGCATCTTTTCACAAAGTGGGGAGACAAAACGTTTCACAGACGATTAGCAAAGGTGCCTTTTGGGGGATGGGCATATTGTTCACATAGTCGGGAAAAGCCGAGATACTTCACAGTCTTAAAAGTAGTTTTTACAACAAGTATACAAATGTTTATGTAAATTAAAAGGGTTGTTTTTTCTTTGTGTGCATAAATGGAAATGTGGAATAAACAATAAAACAGCAAATAGCCAATTAACGACACACAAAACCAAAGACATTTATATAACACATGACTAATGCAGGATGGACGAGTATTTTTTTAATGCTAATTTGTAGTTTTAGTGAAGATTCGTTGGTCCCTTGAATTGGAAAGTTAATAAGTATATTTAGTATGGCAAGTATTGAATCTATCAAATTATAACATCACATGTTCACAACAAAAGTCAGATTTTAACTATAACAGCAACATATTTCAGTCTCGACCTAACCGAGTGAGCATTTAGTGTTGACATTACATATGTTTAAGCCTTTGTTAACTTTCTCCTTATTCCGATGTAGCTGTCCTGTTTAGACTGTGCTTATAAAATTACAATGCTAGTAGTTTGTTTTGAACAAGCTTCCGAAACCATATCAGATTTCTTCTGTACAGTCCAACAAATTTCAAATACCGTTTACACTTGAAACAAAGGGAATGTTGTTCGGCCAAATAGCCAATTTCAACAACTCTATATGTTGATATGCGCAAAATAACGTTGTCAAAAACTTTACTTTCGTTTTTAAATCTACCATATGTTTTTTTATACATGTATGGATTTGGTTTACAATCCTGGATATTATGATAGTTTTTAGTCTTTCTCCGTATATGAGAAAATAGCCATCCATTGAAAAATCTAGAAAAGTAAGTCGAAAAAAATATATCTATTTAAATTTGGCGTCAAAATTGACATTTATTTATCAAAATTACAAAAAAACAAGAATGATGACCCCATTTTTGTCGAGCCTTCGACTTTTGTTGAAAAAGCGAGACATAGCAATCCTACATTCCGTCGGCGTCGTCGGCGGCGGCGTCCACAAATATTCACTCTGTGGTTAAAGTTTTTGAAATTTTAATAACTTTCTGAAACTATCCTGGATTTCTACCAAACTTGGACAGAAGCTTGTTTATGATCATAAGATAATATTCAAAAGTAAATTTTGTTAAAAAAAAATCCATTTTTTCCGTATTTTACTTATAAATGGACTTAGTTTTTCTGCCAAGAAACATTACATTCACTCTGTGGTTAAAGTTTTTGAAATTTTAATAACTTTCTTAAACTATCCTGGATTTCTACCAAACTTGGAACGAAGCTTGTTTATAATCAAAAGATAGTATCCAGAAGTAAATTTTGTAAAAAAAAAATTCCATTTTGTCCGTATTTTACTTATAAATGGACTTAGTTTTTCTGCCATGAAACATTACATTCACTCTGTGGTTAAAGTTTTTGAAATTTTAATAACTTTCTTAAACTATCCTGGATTTCTACCAAACTTGGAAAGAAGCTTGTTTATGATCAAAAGATAGTATCCAGAAGTAAATTTTGTAAAAAAGTAAAAAAAAAAAATCCATTTTTTCCGTATTTTACTTATAAATGGACTTAGTTTTTCTTCCAGTTAACATTACATGCAGTCTGCACTTTACGTTTTTAAAACATTTATTAGATTCATAAACTATCCTGGATTTTTACCAAACTTGGACAGAAGCTACTTACAATCAAAAGATAGTATAGAGAGGAATATTTTTATTAATTGTTTTCCTCATTTTTGTTGAGCCTGCGATTAACAGCAAAAGTAGGCGAGACACTGGGTTCCGCGGAACCCTTACGAATTTTTTATTTCGTATTCCGATGTAACTCGATTCAAAGTACCAGTGTGCCAAAGATTTTAGAAATCCGGGAGATATGCCATTGGTATCGTGTTACCTTAAGACTTGTTTATACATATAGATATATATATATTTTTTTTTTTTATTTTTTTTCAGATAGAACACAAGAGTTTGACATTAGGAGAGGTTTTAGATGGAGACAGAATGGCTCTATCAGAATATGACATTCGTTTTACACGTAAGTAATGCTGCACAATGGATTTTTTATTTGAAATTTGATTTCATAAATAGTTGTTATCTTTTAGATTATTTGATGTTTTCAGCGATTATGTCCAAAGCATCGTGTAGAGCTTTTATTGGTGGAGGAAGGAAGAGTACCTGGAGAGAACCTTCAATCTTTTGTAGGAATACTAAATTAAGCAGCAAAGAATTTTATTTATTTTTCAATTTCAGGGACCAAATAATTGCTTTCGTAGTACAATGTAGAAAACTGTCTAAGGGTGTTAAAATACAAGAATCTATTTTTAAAATTCAAAATGACAAGGCCACATCCGTTCTCTTGGACCTTTTTTAAGAAAATTCTGGACCTTGATTAAAAAAAAACTTTACTCAAACTATGGTCATAATTAAAAGCATTTTAAATCTTAAGATTGATGGAACTTCATCACAATGTTGTTTATAAGATGATATGAAAATAAGAAGATGTGGTATGATTGCCGATGAGACAACTCTCCACCAGAGACCAAATAACATAGAAGTTAACATGTATGGGTCACCGGCTTGGCCTTCAACAATGAGCAAAACCCATAGCACGTAGTAAGCTATAAAAGGCCCCTGAAATGACAAATGTAAAGGAGTGTAGTGTTAACCTACAACTTAAATTTCTTCTACATAAAAGTTAAGGAATGCAAAACTAAACATTTATTGTTTGTATTTTAATATAAAAGTAAGGAGATTTGGTATGAGACAGCTATCCACCAGAGTTCAAATAAAGTAGATTTAAGCATTCATAGGCCACTGTTTGGCTTTCAACAATGAGAAAAACCCATATCTTATAGTTGGCAACAAAAGGCCTTCAACAATGAGGAAAACCCATATCTTATAGTTGGCAACAAAAGGCCTTCAACAATGAGGAAAACACATATCTTATAGTTGGATACAAAAGGCCTTCAACAATGAGGAAAACACATATCTTATAGTTGGCTACAAAAGGCCTTCAACAATGAGGAAAACACATATCTTATAGTTGACTATAAAAGGCATGACATAAAAAATGTGAAACAATTCAAATGATATAACTAACGGCCTAATTTAGAACAGAACAATATGACAGACTTTATTTTGTTTATTTCAAAAATCTGAAAAATGTTTACAATTAAAATATAATCGATTTATAGATAATAAAAAAAATTTTATAACCCTTAGAAAAACTCCAACGTGATCAAAATCAATTAAGTTTTTGGGGTAAAGATTTTACTCATGCAGTCAAAACCCTAATGTGGCTGGTTTTTGTGTCAGATTAATCAACATTACATGTTCATATATACGTGTATTTAAAATGTAGTTAGACACTGCATCTACACAGCAAAGAGACAAAATTTTTCAATTTTTTCGTATATCAGCGATTTTATGCATTTTTGGAAACTTTAATATAGACAATGCTTTAATATCTGTTCCTTTTGGAACAAATATTCTATACCCTTTATTCCGTAAGGATCAAATACTGTTATATTTGTTCCAGTGTAAAAAAATATTATAGCAAATTTCTTCCATTTGAAGCTAATGTTATAATGGAACTTCTTTTTCTTGACAAGTACTTTTTTCTTCCTAAATGTTGCAAATTTTAACCATTTTTATACGCCCGTCAAATTTTTGACGGGACGTATTATGTTATACAAATGTCCGGCGTCCGTCCGTCTGTCTGTCTGTCCGTCTGTCTGTCCGGCGTAAACATGTCGCACCGTAACTTGAGAATGACTTATCCAAATTTCATGAAACTTAACATAGTTGTTTCTTATGATGGCCAAACGATCTGTATACTTTTTGGTGAAAATAAGATTAAAACTTTTTGAGTTACGGGACTTAGTAACTAAAACAGGTGTGTGGTTTTTATACGACCGCAAAAAAAATTTTGTGGTCGTATATTGGTATGACGTTGGCGTCGTCGTCGTCGTTGTCGTCGTCGTCGTCGTCGTCGTCCGAATACACATTAGTTTTCGCACTCTAACTTTAGTTTAAGTGAATGGATCTCATTGAAATTTTACCATAAGGTTCAATACCACAAAAGGAAGGTGGGGATTGATTTTGGGGGTTATGGTACTAACAGTTAAGGAATTAGGGGCCAAAAGGGGCCAAAAATAAGCATTTTTGTAACTTCCAGACATAACTTGTGTGTAAGTGTATGGATCTCTCTGACATTGTACCACAAGGTTCCATATCACAAAGGGAATGCTGGGATTGATTTTGGGGGTAATTGTCTCCAAATTTTAGGAATTAGGGCCAAAAAGGGGCAAAAAACAAGCATTTTTCTAGTTTCATGACAATAACTTGTTTGTAAGTGTATGGATCTTTATGAAATTGTACTACAAGGTTCCATATCACAAAGGGAATACTGGGATTGATTTTTGGGGTAATTTCCTCCAAATATTAGGAATTAGGGGCCAAAAAGGGGCAAAAAACAAGCATTTTTCTAGTTTCATGACAATAACTTGTTTGTAAGTGTATGGATCTTTATGAAATTGTACTACAAGGTTCCATATCACAAAGGGAAGGCTGGGATTGATTTTGGGGGTTTTCCCTCAAAATTTTAGTAATTAGGGGCCATAAAAGGGCAAAAAAAACATGCATTTTTCTAGTTTCAGGACAATAACTTGTGTTTAAGTGTATGGATCTTTATGAAATTGTACTGCAAGGTTCCATATCACAAAGGGAAAGCTGGAATTGAGTTTGGGGGTAATTGCCCTAAACGTTTAGGAATTTGGGGCCAAAAAGGGGCCAAAAAACAAGCATTTTTCTAGTTTCCAGACAATAACTTGTGTTCAAGTGTATGAATCTCTCTGAAATTGTACTGCAAGGTACCATACCTCAAAGGGAAAGCTGGGATTGAGTTTGGGGGCGATGAATCATAAGGGGGTTCAAAAAATTTGGGGTGGGATTTTTTTTCTTTTCTTTTTTTCCTTTTTTTTTTCTTTTAAAATTTTCCATTTTAAGTTGGTTATTTCTGATTTATATTTAAAAGCAACGATTTTTACCTCAGGCTAACTGCCGTTGTGTAACAAAAACTGTGTATTTATTGGGTTACTTCCCTTGATTTATCCTGTTTTAAGTTACTTTCCTTTTAATAATGAAAATTTTTAAAAGAATATAAATAAAATATAAATTGAACAAATAATCATAAAAGGATGGTTATTAAATGATTTTAAATGTCTTAGGACAAATAAAAAAATAATAATTTGAAAATTATTTGAGGATTCTATACTTCCTTTTAAGGCTTAAATTGAAATTTATATAATAACTATGACCCTACCTTCACAGATTGAATGAATTTCTGAGTTTGCAAATAAAAACTATTTGCAAGAGAAAAAAAAATAAAATAAAAACTATTTGCAGACAGCTAAACAAATGTTCTGGTTGCAATGATTGTTTTATAGAATATGAAGTAAAAAATTTAAAGAACATACTGGAAAAAAAACAATGTTAGATTGAACATGTAGAATATAAAGATGGAGAAACTTTATAAGTACAAGGGTACTATAAACATAATAAATTGGTTGGAAAGTTGAAGAAAACACACTTTAAAAGACCATTTTTACAGCACACGGTTACATTTACAACAAAATTAATGTCGATTAAAAACCTCCTGATCTGAGTCCTAATCTCCTGACCAAAATTTCCCAATCTCCTGATCTGAGTTTCACAGTCCATCACATGTATGAATAGGTAAATTGAAATTTTTTAAGTTCTTAGACCACTTTCATTCTGTGTCAGAAACCTATGCTGTGTCAAATATTTAATTACAATCCAAATTCAGTGCTGTATCAAGCTTGAATGTTGTGTCCATACTTGCCCCAACTGTTCAGGGTTCGACCTCTGCGGTCGTATCAAGCTGCGCCCCAGCGGAGCATTTTATTTTCACATGTCGCGCCGTATCTCAAAAACAATTTATGATTATTGCTTAAAACTTTACACACTTCTTAGTTATATTAATCTTAAGATCTGTATACTTTTTGGTGATGATTCAAAATTTTATTTTTGAGTTATTGAGTATTTTGTTAAAAAGGGGGAGGGGTTTTTCACATGTCGCGCCGTATCTCAAAAACAGTTTATGATTATTGCTTAAAACTTTACACACTTCTTAGTTATATTAACCTTAAGATCTGTATACTTTTTGGTTTTGATTCAAAATTTTATTTTTGAGTTATTGAGTATTTTGTAAAAAAAGGGGGAGGGGTTTTTCACATGTCGCGCCATATCTCAAAAATGATTTATGATTATTGCTTAAAATTTTACACACTTCTTAGTTATATTAATCCAAAGATCTGTATACTTTTTGGTTTTGATTCAAAATTTTATTTTTGAGATATTGATTTTTTTTTTAAAAGGGGTGTTTTCACATGTCGCGCCGTATCTCAAAAACGATTTATGATTATTGCTTAAAATTTTACACACTTCTTAGTTATATTAATCTAAAGATCTGTATACTTTTTGGTTTTGATTCAAAATTTTATTTTATAGATATTGAGTTTTTTGTAAAAAAAAAAAGGGAGGTTTTCGCATGTCACGCCGTATGTCAGAAACTATTTATGCTTATTGCATAAAAATTCACACACAAGACGACGGGCGTATCATGCGCTCATGGCGCAGCTGTTTATTAGAATTGACGACAAAGTGACGCAAATGTTGCAAATTTTAACCATTTTTAGCTCACCTGGCCCAAAGGGCCAAGTGAGCTTTTCTCATCACTTGGCGTCCGTCGTCCGTCGTCCGGCGTCGTCCGTCGTCGGCGTTAACTTTTTACATTTTGAACTTCTTCTAGAGAACCACTGAATGGAATGAAACCAAACATGGCATGAATGTTCCTTATGAGGTGCTGACCAAGTGTTGTTACTTTGTAGCGGATCCATCATCCAAGATGGCCGCCAGCGGTGGACTTAGTTTAACATAGGACCCTATGGGAAATACATACAAATGTCTTCTTTTAGAGAACCACTGAATGGAATGAAACCAAACATGGCATGA